AGCCTGATGACCCCTAACCACTCTCCTGCCAGCCTGATTGATGCTGAACTGCTCCCCTGTTGGCCCGATTGCCCCTAACTGCCCTCCCCTGATGGCCTCTTCACCCTTAACTGCCCTTCCTTGCAGGCCATCTTGTAGCGGCTATCTTGTGTCCACATGGGAGCACCATCTTTGACCACATGGGGTGGCCAGCTTTGTGTTGGAGTGATGATCAATTTGCATATTACCCTTTTATTAGATAGGCTTCCTTGAAAAACAAATTTTAATGGTTTAATAATTTCTTCTAATGATGTATTTTTACTGTTACAATAGTTCCTTATTGAGCATTTCAGATAAAACCATTTATGCTAATATGAATAACACATAAGTAACAAGGTTTGCATCATTTCTTAGTATAAATTGCTGTAAAACAATTGGAACTTTCAGTGGGGCTTTTCATGCTTTGAAGTAGCTTTGCTAAAATGCTTCCCAGGGAAGTTAAGTGGGTAGAAAGGTGGGTGAACTAGAGGCAAGTGCTGTACATTTGTAAAATGGCAAAAATTAGCATAGAGGAGACAGAGGCAGAGGGCTTGAAGGCCTGGTGACAGTGGCTGAGATCTGCAGGTAGACCACCTGTATTTTCACCTCTCTGCACATTTGCTTACACCGAAATCCACCCCCAAACCTCCAGTATCACATTTCCCCCGCAAATTATTTGACCATGTTTCCACATTTATACCGAGGGTGTACCCGTACAGTCCTTGAAGGTGAAATTATGTTGCTAAGTTTTGTATTTTGACTACAGTGAGTGTGCAATAAATGTTTAACTTGAAAAGCAAAATTCTGCAAAGACACACAAGAAACTAATAAAAGATGAGTATAAGGGTTAGAATTGGATTTTCTAATGTATACCTTCAGACTTCTGTTTGTAAACAAATTGCAATTTAAATCAAGCCTTTAACACAACCAAAGCGATTATAATGGCCTATTTGTATACTCTAATTGTGCAGTAAAGCTTATATCTGCCCTCAAATGTTTCAGACATATCAGAAAACACCTTTTCTTCTTTAGTCTGTGTTCAATGTCTGCCTCCTCTTATTCTCATTCATGTATCACTTATAGTGACTAAGGAACTTTCAGGAATGAAGAGTCTGGGAAAGACTCAAATTGAAATTGCAGTATAATTTTTTTGGCATGTCCACATCTTGGTGACCATTATAGATAATCGGTGTCTTCTATTTTGTAAACAACATTTATGTACTTCTCAAGGCTTTCTTAAAATTTAAGGAGAAACAATAGCAATGGCAACCCCATCCTTTCCCATAAACAAGCCTTTAGTACAGGCTCCATTCGATTATAAACGTAGTTTTTCTTCTGTAAGTACCAATGTAAAGTTTACTGAACACTGAAGCCTCCTTGATAAAAGTCTGAGTTGGAACCAAGTGACCTCTCTCACCTTTGTCTTCTACTGAAACAGTTTTAAGGCTCTAGAACAGCGGTGGGTAACCTTTTCGACCTCACAGACCACCAGCGGCCATGGCCGCCAGTTGGTGACCACTGCTCTAGAATGTTCTCGGATTAAAAACAACTTGTCAGTTTTCTTGCATTATATTATTGGTTCACTTATTGTGTGCAATCTGGCACTTCAGAGGAGCAGCGAACAACAGACCTGTACCGGCACAGCGTTCCGGTCTGTAAGCGGCATGAGGGCTAATTACATTTGGATTTAGAGCCATCAGCCACATCAGTGCTTTTGTTGTAGAGCAAATAAATGTAGTAAATAGATATTGAGAGACATATCATTTTAGTGTTTTAGCAAAATGTAAGGATTAGCAGTGAATGAGTGTGTGGGAGGCTGTCGAGAACTGAGCAGCAAGTGCTGCGTACAGCTGTCCAGGCATGGATCCCACAGCCAAAGAGAGCACTCGGCGGCCACCAGCAACTCCCGTTTTACCTGTTTAAAGAGAACTGTTTCCTTTATTCTAGTCTGCTGTTTACTGGCTTACTTAATATGTCCGCCAGTTTCAGTATTTTGAAATAAAGTTATAAAAACACCACGAACTCAGCAGAATGCTGCTGACCCTCCCTAGTGCTGTGTTTTCTTTAGTTCAGAGTAAGATAGAAGCGTAAGACCACACTCACATATATTATCTTCATACTAGGAGCCCATTTGCAGCAAGATTCCTGCAAGCGGCCACCATGGACATGCACGCTGCTGCTGTGCCCACCCTGCCCTGCCCTCTGGCAGCCACCTTGCTTTCAGCTTTTCCTCCTTCTTCCTTCTAAGCTGTCTTCAGTCTTCACTCCTCCCTCCCTCAGCGTATGCAAACTAATTGTCATCTTTGTTGGGTTAATTTGCATATTTTCTCTGATTGGCTGTGAGCATAGCAAAGGCATGGTCAATTAGCATTTTCTCCTTTATTAGTGTAGATATCTATACTAATAAAAAGGTAACATGCTGATTAGACTGAATAGACCGGATGTCTTCCGGATGTCCGGAACGCCTTCAGGACAATGCTGTGGTGGCTGCGAGGGCCGAGCGAGGGCTGGGGCCGTGGCGCCCTGCAGTGGCAGCAGCAGCAGTGGGTGAGGGGGGCGGTGCCTTCCCGATAGGCCCAGTCCTGGGTCCTGGTCCCAGGAGCAGGGAGCCCGGCTTCTGGTTGAGCCACATTCCCTGCTCCCCACCCCCGCTCAGCCAGAAGTGGGGCTCATGGCTGGCGAGCACGACAGAGGTGGCATGAGCTTCTCCTGCCTCCACGGCAGGCGGCAGTGAGGAGCAAGGGGTCCTAGACTGCAAGCGGGATGTCTGGATTCCAGCCTAGGCCCAATGCCTCCCACTGTGAGAGGGCACAGGCCTGGCTGAGCCCCCCAACCCCTAACCCCATACATGATTTCATGCACTGGGCCTCTAGTGTGTGTATGTATACACACACACACACACACACACACACACACACACACACACGTACATATATATATATTGAATATTTTAGTAGATCAGTTTGGGGGGGGACTAAACATTTCTAACATTAACACTCATATTTTTGAAGGAATCAGAAATACATTATATTTTAAGGAAATACAATATGGTATGCTATTCCTTTCATAGATTAACTCAGTTCCTAATTCTCAGTTACCTGAAAATCTTAGAAGTACACGAAATGACTGATGTTAATATTTAATGACCTATATAGTTTTTTTGAGAGAAATAAAACAATCTTTATTCAATAAGATTTTATATAGTATAAAAAAATATACAAATCAACCAATGAACTCCTATGTATATATGCATAGCCCAGGGACACAGACCTATGTATGTTTTAAATTATCTGGCCAACTCTGAACTCCAAAGTGCTAAGTCTAAGCGAAAGAACATATTCTTCTCTAGGGAAGCGCTAGGAAGAAGAGGTAACCTTGCTTGTAACATCCCCGTGCAGGTCACAGCATTTCAGGGGGTGCGGGCAGGTGTATGTGTGTGTGTGGGGGAGGTGCGGGGTGGGCTGGGGAGCGGGCAGGAGTGTGTGTGTGTGGGGGGTGAGGTGCGGGGTGGGCTGGGGAGCGGGCAGGAGTGTGTGTGTGTGTGTGGTGGGGGGGAGGTGCTGGGTGGGCTGGGGAGCGGGCAGGAGTGTGTGTGTGTGGGGGGGGAGGTGCGGGGTGGGCTGGGGAGCAGGCAGGAGTGTGTGTGTGTGTGGGGGGGGTCCCAGTGCCGGGCACAGGTTAATTCGAAGCATTCACCAGGACATTGTTGATAAGCGGGTAGCATTCAAGTGTCCCAAACTCGAATCCTCATAGAAAATTATTTTTCAAAGGGAAACAGTGGCACAATTTTCTATGTTAAGACAAGACTTTCCTTCCGGCTCCGTTGGCGCAGGCGGTGGCCACCTCTGCGGAAGCCAGCGTTCCCAGGTGCTCCCTCCCTTTGCTTCTAATTTCAGCAAAACCCGAGTAAATGTGTGAAGATGAGGGAAGTGTTCCCAGCCAAGTCCATTTTTCATAAATGCACACAGACATCCATGACACAACCCAGAAAAAATCACCACACAGAGAACGTGGACTTAGATTTTTAATTTTTTTTAAAGATTAACTCTCTCTCTATATATATTAATAAAAAGTGCAAAGAACATGTTTAAATTATATTCTGAAATAAAATATATATTTCCATCAACTGCTGGGGACAAGCGGCAGGGCCAAGCCCCTCCGCCGACCACGCCCCCCGAGGACAGGGCTCCTGCCTTAACCTGGGCCTGGGGTTTGTATGTGCAATCCAACATGGAGCAGGGAAAGCACACACACAATGCCCGCGGAGGCGGCTGGGCAGCACGCCTGGCACCACGCCCGGGGGTACAGACCACAACCCAGACAACACGTGACCGCAACCCGCCAACCCCGCTGACACGTGCCACCCAGCTGACACGGGACCACAGCCCCGCTGGAATGTTGGGCTAGAACAGAACTTCCATTTTGTTATGTAAACAAAATCTTTAAACACAGCATAGTAACATTAGGCCTGTTACACACAGCTCCCGTTTTGGGTTGATTTTCATCAAAAGGTTCAAAAGAAACAAAGAGGTTATACAATGCCTGCTGCTTTCTTATGTGTTTATGGCAATAGGTTACAGAAACAATAGAAACTTCTAAAAAGACACAGAACTCAGAACTTATTTTCTTTAAAACACTCTGGGATATTTCAAATAAAAAAAAAATATTTCTATGTGGTTTCAGCAGCTACATGCTCACATCAAAAGAATCCCTTGGTTTTGGTTTAGATTTCTTTTATTACTCACTTTCCTTTTCCCAAACTGAAAAGAATGTCTATTTTAGAAAAGATAGGTGGCAGCCAAGCGGTAATACTGGCTGTGATGGCATTCTGCTCACAGATATGCTCTCACTGAACCTGGAGGAAGTCAGTATCAAAACACTGAGAAAACAGCAATCAACCACGCATCACTGTGGACTCAAAGGTCCATGGTGCCTTCCCTCCTTGGCCTGTTATAAAAATAATTCTGGTTACAAGTGTCTACGCAGCACCAATTTTATTTCAGAAGAAGCATCTTTACTCAGCCACCCAAACAAGCCTACAAGTACACATGCTCAAATCGCTTTTCTCACTTCTGTAACTCTAAAAGACCAGTAATTTTATTAATTTTGTCTCAATCAAAAATTATTCAGCAAGTTTTAAACCATCAATTACAATGCCCTATAATACCCACGCCCACAGAGAGCAGTCCCCTGCCACGCGCATGCGTGATAGAAGTGCACCTGCCGTCGCTGGCAGGCTCTAACAGTACAAAAGCATCTCATAGAACTCTGTAATATATAAAATATCTTATTGTGACCATCCTGCTTATGATTAAAGCATAACCTACATGCTCCCTCTGCCTTCTGTGGGGGACAGTCGGGGGCCACACAACCTCAAAAAATAAGGGTGCATCTATCTCCTTGGCTGACAAAGCAAAGGCTCAGCTATCCTATTCCTCCCAAACGTGCCTGCACTCACGCACACATACACAAAGCCTCCATAGTTTTAACCTCATGACACAAGGGCCACACTGCCCACTTCAAAAAATAAGCCAGAAAATTGCGATGGCAAAATAATGACTCTCATCTCTGTGAAGCGTGGCCCCTGAGCCCCCTCTGCCTGGGAGGGACCGAGCCCGGAGAAGAGAGGCCTCGTCACCTCACTCCCTGTGGTTCCCACCTTCACAATTTCAGTGAATGTGGACTGGACTCAGGAGGCCTGGGTCAAGGGCTTTACAAACACTGAACCTGAAGTGCGTAAGAGAATAAATACCTGCTTTTATGGCAAAGAAAAGCTTAAAAAGTAACAGTAATAAACACAACACCACATACATGAAGAATTTACAAGCCACCTAAGAAACTTCCTAAGAAACTCACAGGAGTGGTGGAATGAATGAAAAGGTCAAACACCATCCTAACATTCTCTGAGAAGTCCTGCGTGCGCACGCCTCCTGCCCGCCTACGCTAAATCTCTGCACACAGGGTGGACCAAGAAAAACACATTTTAAAGGAAGAGCCTGTACTGACAGAGGAATGGAACAAACCAAGACTTCAGAGCAGGGAAGGAACCAGATTTCAAAGAAAAGTGCTTTGAATATTCTTCTGCAAAAAATCTGACTTGGAGGCAATTCTGAATTTGGACACTTGTATTTACTCACAAATCAGAGTGGTGCTGCAGGGGCAGCTAAGTGAACTGTGACACAGGAGGATCCTTCCATACGGCATCACCAAGTCCCAGGAGAGACCTGGAACCAGAGCTCCTCCGATTCTAGTCCCCTCTCTCACCACTGAGTGCAGGAGCTGGCCCTTCCCACAAGGACCCTGACTGCTCCAGCCCCACGTAGGGAGGCACTGCCCATGCTGCCCTCATCCTCATGGGTCTGATGCAGCAGGCAGCCCGGTGCACACAGGAAGACGGGGTTTCCCAGTCATCCTTTCGGGAGGGAGGGCACACGGGCTGGAGATGGGGTCAATTCTGCCGGCAGGGCTAAAGAAATCCCGGTAAAAAATACCTCAAACAGCCCCCACCCATTCCAGGGATGGGGGGTGAGGCGTGGGGAGGGGAGTTTACACCTCCACCCCTAAACAAAGCAAAGCAAACCCAAAGCAAACCCACCTGCTCCCTCCTAAAGATAACCCGGAAACAGTGCCCTGCGGAAGTCCTGGGTGTGTGCAGTCGGTCTAGAGGTCACTTGGTTTTGGATTCCACATAGATCTTGTCTCCATCCCTGATGCCGAAGGAGTGCAGGGCCCGGGAGCTGTACTTCATCTCCTCGGGGCCGAAGGGCGCCTCGTGGTCAAAGTGGTAGAGCAGCATGCTGCTCGGGGGCAGCTGCACGAGGCTTTTTAACTGTTTCTTCAGTTCTGCCACTGTCTGGTCCAGACGAATGCTCATTTCTTCCACCTGATCATTAAAGTGGACTTGTACTTTCGCACTGCTCTGGGGTCTTAGATCCACTTCTGCCAAAGGCTCCAACTTCCCGTATTTTGTGATCAGTTCGTGATACCTGGAAGGATAAATAGGCAGTGTGAGCTGACGCCATTAGTAACTGGAGTCCAAGCTATTTCCCAACTCCGGGTAAACCACACAGCTGTCCCCCACATTTCCTAGCACCCAGTCCCATGCTCTGTCCCAGTACCGATGGCCACAGTGGGATCTGTTACCGGAAACGCGGCCCTTTGAGACTCATAGGGAACCACGTCCTGTGGACACCTCCTCTGAAGATGGTCCGTGCCTGCTGTCCCTTCCTGCTAAGAGGAGGCTCAGCAAGGAGAACTGAGCCTGAGAGGACACGGCGCAGAAGTCGCTTTCGCGGCCCAGCACAGAGGAGGCCACTCTGCGCACTGCTCCTTGGTAACACACGGGAAGGGGTGGGTGGGCCGGCTGCTCCTGAACCCGGAAAAGTCATGTCTTACAAACACCCAGGGCATGCTAGCCTGTTTGAATGGTCCAGCCTGGTCTCATGGGCTACAATACAAGGAATCTGTGGAGGAGTCTAGAATAAATTCTTGTAAAAAAGTGGTAAATGGGGGATACAAGTTCCTCGATCCAGGCAGTAATAAAGAGCAAACAATATCAACAGGAAAGTGAATATAGAGGTGTCTGGGGCCCCACGTGAAAATATTGTTTCCATTATCAGCCTTGGAGGACCTGATTTTACTGAGGAAGCTGAGCAGTTCCCTAAAACCCAGAGAGGGGACATGCTAGATCCGATATTAGCTTTATTACACCATAAGGTTAACTCATGACCAGAACACAGTGGTCACAAGATTACTCTCCACCTCTCCCCCTCTACTTTTGGTTTTAGCTTAGTTAAATCAGTGCTAACTGAAGGCTGGCAGGAACATAGGACACAGTGAGATTCTGTGGTCAGAGTTGGAGGCGAGCAATGCCACCATAGGAGACACCACAGGAGACAAAGGGCAAGGCCAAGGGCACCGGCCTTAGAGTGGGAGACGTCCTTACCACTAGCTGTGTGGCTCTCTACGATCAGCTGTGTGACGGGTACTCGCTCAATCCTTTAGGATTTCAGATTCCTCATTAGTAAAATTGGGATAATAAATCTGCCCTTCCTACAGACAGTCTTAAAATTATCTAAAACTAGAGGCCTAGCACATGACTAAATCCTGCACCTGTCGGGTCCCCTAGGCCTGGCCTGCCACCAGGGCCGTGTCCGAGACGCCTCACACACCCCGAGCGAGAGCCGCTGCTCCTGTGGTCCTGACGCTGTTACGGCATCTCGACCACAGGCCTTACGATATAGGTAACAGGTGAGTGACACTTTGTAAATTAACTTTGTAACAAATTAAAAAAATGAACGTTACACTCCTACTGTTATGGAATTTACATTATTAAAACACACACACACACACACACACACACACGCCTTAAAATATATATATAATTGAAGTATATTTAGATAGAACTTCTTGGAAAAGGTAGGGTTATAATGAAGCAAATTACAGAATCTTCTCCTCCCAGGACATGAGCTTTAAACAGTGCTTTTGAAAAGGGTAAAGAAATCACCAGCAGCAGTTAACGGAAGAAGAGATGTCAACCAAAGGTTGTCATCTCCAATTCAATGCCAACAGGAGTTCCCGCATGTGATGGCAAAGGGGAAGATTTACTCAGTGAAAGCAGCTCAGCTGTGAAAAGCTCGGAGGTGGAACAGTGCTGCCGAAGCCCTCGTTTAAAGCATGGCAGAGATAGCTCAGCATGAACTGCTCAAAGTGGCTCAGTGCTATGGCTCCAGTCAGGGGAAGGCAGTCATGTAGAAACTGAACGTGTACTCCATTGAGACAAAGGTGAAGCTGGCTTATGGAGAGAAGAGTGTCTGCACCGAGTCCCTGATTGATCCATTTGTATGCAAATGAGGACTCCAAATAGCACTGCCCTGATTGGTCAGAATGGAATGCTCTGATTGGTCAGTGAGGAGCAAATGCTATATAGCTGCACAGCTCCAATTAGACAAGGAAAGTCTCAGTCCTATTGGTCGAATTTCAATCCTAGGAGCTCTCTTATAAAGGTCAACTGAGACAGCAGGAGCCCAGTGCAGAGGCGTGGCTGCCCGGTCCATGGCTTTCTCCTGAAATGCAGAGTGCACCAGACCTCTGTAAATAATGGCTGCTAGACTCAGGAAAAACTCCTATTTGGCAGATATATTCTTTCTTGGGTCAACAGAAGGAATAACCTTATTGCCATAATCTTTTAAAAGGAAAGAAAGATCTGCATTAGTGGTAAGCTGTGGATTCATAAACTGGAAGAGCTTTCTCATTTTTCTGTTCCAACCTCTTCCTTGAAATACCTTCTGAATTGCAAAGATGGGAACTGAAAACTATATTTCCCACACTCCTTTGCAGGTGAGCTTTAGCTTATATCAAGCACATTCAATACCTCGAGGGTGAGAAATAATGAATTTAGTAGGTACAATTTGGGTAGAGGCTTCCTAATTACCAGATTGTAGTTCAAGCAGTGTGTTTCTGGCCATAGCTTGTTGATCTCCAGATCCCAGCTAAGGTGGTGTGACCCAGCACCAGGACATCACTTCCTGAATCTCGCCTTACAGGGTTCCTTGGTCAGCTGGTTCTGTGGTAGCAATCTAGAGACAGACCAGTTCTAGGGAGAAAGACCTTCCAAAGATGTTGTCAGCACCTTATCTTCTGTATTAAATTCCTTTCTTCTTAAAATACTGCTGTGAGGTGATGTAGGGGAATGGTAGTATGCAAGGTTCCCTTGGTCTCTCCCTTTGAATTTTCAAAAATTTTAACAGCTCTAATTCAACAAAGGAATCCCTGCTCAAAGCACGAGTCAGCTGAGAGATCCACACACTGAAACAGCTAAAGGTGGGTAGGGTAAGTTGGAACAAACGGGGGAGGTGAGGAGAGAGAAGAAATCCAGTTATGGCTGGCACTCCACTCAGCTGGGAGGAGCAAAGAGATTCCATGGGCACTCCTGCAGCAATGAGTAGTATGAGCTGTAGCTGAGCCCGAGAACTAGGCAAGGACACTGCATGGGGGTACGACTGTGGCTGTTGGGTGATCAGCATTCCCATCAGAGAAACAAAGCCGCAGAGCCCTGGCCTTCTGTAGCCTCCCTTTGCCCTTGGTGTCAGGCTGCAAAGTACACTATCTGCAAACCCAAGAACAGATACTACAGAATCACTTTACCCTTGAGAAAAGGGTGCACAGTCCCGGGGCTGGGTGCAGGGTGCAGGGGGCACCCCGTGAAGGTCTAAGGTCATCATTACCAGGAGGACAAAACAACGAAGAAGCTGGCCAGTTCCCCAAGCCCAGCCCACTGCCACATATATGGCTACACAGATGGGAGCCTATCTCTGGCTGTGGAAGACAGCAATGGGATTTCACAGAGCTAAGAAAACCTGTGCTATTTAGTGCCACCTACTGGAAAAGAATAGAAAGACTTCTTCATATTAATCTGTTAGAGAAGTGCCACTTACACACTGATGTCGAGACAGAGAAAGAATCAATCAAATGCCATGAATAAACCAAGAGATCAAGGCAACTTAGAAAGAAACGGAAAAATCTCCAGAAAGCAAAATTAAAGACATGGAAATATGTTATATAAATGACAAAGAATTCAAGGTTGCACTTCTGAAAATACTCAGTGAGATGTAAGAAAATAATACAGGCAATTTAGTGAGCTCAGAAAACAAATCAACAGAGAGACAAAATGGCGGCTGAACAAATGGACCTGTTCTGAACCTAGTCCCAGAGCAGATAGAAGGAGCGCCTGAGAGTTGCTCGGGGAATGTTAGTTGGCAAGCTAAGGGGTAGCAGAACTCTAAGAGAAGGTAAGAGTCTGCTGGACAGGATTTATGACCAAGCAGCCCACAATGCAGCTGAGACCTCTCCCGGAGCTACAGGCTCAGAGGGAAAACTACTCCATCTTACAAAGAAAAGAGGATCTTATCTGAGATCTGAAAAACCCACAACAGTGGAGACCACCGAACAGCTGAGACGCCCCAATTGGCGCAAACATGTGGATTCAAGGGAGTTCTTCAATCACCTACGGAAAGGAGAATGAGAATTACATAACGAGACATCCTGAAAAGAGAGACCATGAGGAGACAAAGAAATAGCCCGCACATGAAAGAAAAACAAGCATCACCAGAAAAGGAAGTAAACAAATTAAAGGCAAGCAATCTACCAGAGCAAGAATTCCGAGTAATGATCATAAAATGGCTAAAAAGAATGGAAGACAAATTTGACAATATGAGTAATTAATTACCAGGAGGAAATGAAGATGAACCAAGAAGAAATGAAAAAAGACATCGCTACTATGATAAACTCAATAGAAAGCATCAAGAGTAGACTAGAAGAAGCAGAGGAACGCATCAGTGAGCTAGAAGACAAGATGGAAAAAAATACCCAATTAGAGCAGCTTCTAGGAAAAGAAATTAAAAAGCAGAAGGAGAGCCTACGGGAGCTTTGGGACAATACAGAACAAAACAATATTAGAATAATAGGGGTTCCAGAAGGAAAGGAAACTGAGGAAGACATGGAAAACGTATTTCAAGAAATAATGACAGCTGAAACTGGTTTGGCTTAGTGGATAGAGCGTCAGTCTGCGGACTGAAAGGTCCCGGGTTCGATTCCATTCAAGGGCATGTACCTTGGTTGTGGGCACATCCCCATTAGGGGGTATGCAAGAGGCAGCTGATCGATGACTCTCTCTCATCAATGTCTCTAACTCTCTATCTCTCTCTCTATAAAAAATCAATAAAATATATTAGTAAAATAAAAAATGACAGAAAACTTTCCTGAGATAGAGAAGAAAAAACCCACACAAATCCAAGATGCTCGCAGAGTCCCAAGCAAAATGAATCCCAAAAGACCGACTCCAAGACACATTATAATTAAATTGGCAAACTCCAATGATAAAGTAAGAATCTTAAAAGCAGCCAGAGAGAGAAAGAAAGTTACATATAAAGGAACCCCCATCAGACTAGCAACTGGTTTCTCAACAGAAACTCATCAGGCCAAAAGG